TTCCACTAATTATGTGTCGTTGGTTCTCATTCCAAGAAATAAGTGGTTGTGTTGCCAAGATATACGTCATTTTTAATATATGTGGGGAAAACGAGCGTTGATGTAGCCAGAGAATGGAGATGACGCCAATGGCGTTAGTCCGGTGGTACATGACAGCCCTGATATAGGTATATCGTACTTCCCATGGGAATATACAATATTACAACCGGGCATGTAGAAGTCTTTATTAACTCTTTGGTGAATGATAATAGGAAGGTATCGTGGAATCATTTGTGGCTTTGCGATGTCCAAATCAATACCAAGGTGTCAGAAAGGCACATCGCTCAACGTAACCGCCCATACTTTGTCCAATTATTTCTATGTTAAAAAAAAAAAAAAAATAAGGCAACAAGATAACAGTCCTGTGGGCTTGCCGCTGCTATTCCAATGATAGGGGTGCACTGGCTTGACTAGAGATCGACAGAGTATGTTGGTACAACTTACAGGCATACAACATACTTTTTTTTTGCCACTGTAACTGTTAGACAGATAGCTTATTCCAGGTGTGGCTTGGGTTGAGGCGTTTATATTTGTAAGTTGGTGTATAAGGCTGGCAGTTCTAAAGGTTACGCCTATTTCCCATGTTTTCAGCCCTAGTACTTCTAAAATTTAAGTCAAACTACTTCACTTACTCGCTTTGGATTGAGATGCACACACAACTGTGTACAACATACATAGATTTTGGTCTTCAAGAACTAGATACATGAAGTCCAGGTGTGACCAGGTGGAATATGGGTGCTCAAGACGGACGTAACGTAGAAACTAGAAAGAAGTCAGGTGCAGAAGGCAGGTGCCCATGGGTCATTTCACGGGTACACCCGACCTCGTCCACAGGTTCATCGTCGCGTCCCATGAATAATATCACGTTCTCAGATGCGAAATTTCTGTTTTAGGCTCACCTCTCGCCGCTTTTTTGACCAAGTAGAATTGAGAACACCCCCTCAGCTGGGCATTCGATCATCCTTAGATAAGCAGTTTTCAAGCAGCCCTAATCCGACGTGCACCAAGCGATCAACCAACCATACATAGATATGAACTAACCAATAACAGCTTCGGTGCAGCCGCTGCCAAGTGATGAGACAGCCTATAAGAAGCTCAGACTCTTACTTACCTTTGCGTGATCCTCCTGGCGCATTGTAGACACCACCAAGAAAGACAAGTACAACGTGTGTAGCGGGCTGCAAGTTCAAGAACAAGAGCAACATTTCATCCTATGGTCTTGATATTGATTTCCAACCCTACCTGGAATTGAAAATTTTCAAAGCTCACTGGCCTAATGTATTCTATCTTAATGCCGAATTGGATTGGTCCGCTCATTCTACCATTTAAACCTACTTGCAACGTGCAGAAGGCTAACCCGTGTGAGCCGTTAAGACGGCAGATCTTCTAGGTACTCAGGTCAGTCGAACATGTTATATTTTATTATTATTATTAAATAAAGACCTCGAGTGATACATACAGTCGCAGCACGTGATGATAGTGAGCCTCCCGGACTGAAATATACAAGCCTGCCCCTCATTCCCCCCAAAAGCGGCAACTAAGAACCATGGATAAAAAAGCCCCACCCGTGGAGCTACCGTGTGTTGAAAATGGATATAGATCAAGGATAAACATGAAACACTGTTGGTGCCCAATCCATCATCGCAACGAATGGTATCTCGATTGCCTAGTTATGGAGAATCAGGTACGAAGGTCAAAAGAACCAGCGCCTAAAGGAACCCCAACTCGAGTCCGAGTTCAAGATGCGAGCGACAAGACTATCCACAGAAAAAAAAAGGAGCTGATCGTATAATATAGTTTCAGTAATCGCCTTATCTATTTTAGATGCGTTCTCAGCGTCCTGTAGGAATTTAGCGCGAAAGGGTCCGATCGTAATTATTTTAAGTGGCGTTTTACGAAGGATATGCGTTTCACGTTTCGGGGGTTTATGCAGCGGACATGCCTAATGTGCGGTTTAGGAGAATTAATATTAGAGTGCTCTGTTGTCAATGGCGTTGGCATTAATCTCGAGTCTGGACTCGAAGTGGGCCCTGATGATGCTTTGTATCCCAACACTGGAGTTGGAGTTGGAGAGAAAGGGAGAGTGTGTGTAGATGGGAAGTAGAGAGAAAATATGGAAATCGTATATTCAGTCTTGAAGGAATGAAATATAAGAGATAACGTAGACTATATAAAAGGGTAAAAACGTTATCGAGTCGAGTCCAAGATTATGCGCCATGAGGCTGAACTGCAGTAATTAAAAATGACGCCCATGACGCCCAGCTGAATAAATAAAAAGGGACTCCAGGCCTGACTTTCCTTCCTTTTCCTCTTTCACTTTCTTCCCAGCCCCTCCCCCGCTTTGGCTGACAGTATAAGCACACACACTTTCTCGTATACAAATTTCGACTATTTTGGCCCCCATTTTTGTTCTTTTCTCATTTCTCTCCCTCACTTTCTGGTGTTCACATCTATATCATCTGCCATCTGCACCTGCACCTGACCTGCACCTGATAACCCCCCCGCACAGGCCCCTCTATCAGGGCCCCCTCCCCAATCTATATTATCAATACTCCCCATACTTTTCGCAACCCCGCCAAAATGCCTATGCGAGCAATTTATGACGATGACGACTACTCCTCGCATGATTCGGAGTTCGAGACCGACTTCTCCACCCGGCGAACAGGTCTCAGAACCCATATCCGCGAGCGCTCTGTCTCTCGCCACCGTCGCCCGGAAGTCGTCTCTCGCGAGTTCCTAGCACCAACCCAAACCCGCGTGCACCGGTCGGCCTCGACAGGCGGCGGTCGACGCCGCGGTCCGCCACTAGCACCGCCTCCACCACCAGCGGTGATGATTATCAACGAGCAAGGGCTGCAGTCAGAGAGTCGCTCGGAGAACAAGCCCCAGTCTCGACGGGTGCAGCACCAGTTCAGCGAAAAGAACACCAATACCCATAACCACAGGCACAACCGCTTCGAGGATGAACATGATGAAATATTGCAAGCGCCGGTCGCCCCGCGCCGACATGTGCGTGCCAGCAGCGTCTCGCGCGATACCTCCCCTTTCCAGCGTGACCACGAGCTAGCCATGAGCCAGCACATGCTCGAGCGCAACGATATCCGGCAAGACATGGGTCAGCATCTGTTGGAGCGCAATGATCTCCGACAGGACATGGATCTCTGGAAGCATCAGCAGGAGATCGAACGGCTGCAGCGGGAGCTGCAGAAGTCTCATAGCCGCAGCGACAAAGAGCGCGAGAAAATCATTGTGAACCCGCAACCCAATCCGCACGATTCTCGGCTGCTCAGAGAGGAGCTAGAGTATGAGGAAGAGATTGCCGAGCGGCTGCGTAAGTTACAGCGGTTGGAGCACAAGCAGCATTCTGCGGAAGAGGAACGCAAGGCTGAGGAGCGCTATCAGCTCAAGAGGCTGGCGGCGGAGAAGAGGGCTGCTGCTGAGGAAGAGGAGGTTAGAAATAAACTCCAGGAGGAGAGGTTGAAGGATATTGCGCGCATGCAGGATGAGAAGGGGCAGAGGGAGAAGCTCGTGCGGGAGGAAAAGTGGAAGGAGCTTGCAAGGATGAAGGAGGAGCAAGAGGAGAGGGAGAAGCTTGTGCGAGAGGAAAAGTGGAAAGAGCTTGCTCGTCAGAAGGAAGAGGAGGAGGCGCATGAAAAGCTCGTTCAGCAGATTCGAGATGAGGATATGCGGAAGGCAAGGGAGGCTGAGGAGAAGAGGAAGAAGGAGCTCGCTATGAAGGCTGCTGCTGTTGAGGAGTGGAAGCTTGAACAGGAGCGGATCAAGCAGAGACAGGCGGAAGAAGCAATCCGGAAAGCGAAGGAGTTCCGCGATCACCTTCGCAACATTGGCTATTCCGAGGAGGAGATTGATGGTATCATCAACAAGAAAAAGGAGGACAAGAAGAAAGAAGAAAAGAAGAAGGAAGAGAAAAAGGAAGAGAAGAAGGACGAGAAGAAGGAAGAGAAGAAGACTGAGAAGAAGGAAGAGCCCAAGGTCACATGGATTAAGGTATGGAGTTACCATATCCTCTCTATACACTAAGGGATTTAGCTGACACTATACTAGGTCCATCGCAAGTACTTGCTGCCAGATAGCTTGATGGCTTACGGTCTGCCTTGGGACTGGGACGAGGTAAGACTCAACTCTTTGTGTGTATACAACGAATACTAATATCTCTTTATAGCACGACCCCAACTACATCATCATCAAACAGTGGATTGACGATGAATTCCAAGAAATTCTCTTCGCCCACACCCGTCGTATACGCGAGGGCAAGATGCTCGCCCAGACATCTAACACGACGACCGAACTGAGAGTCAACGACCGCAAAAAGGACAAACTATACATGATTCGGAAGAAGAGCCCTTCAGGCCGGGTGCGCATCTTCGGATAAATGTCTTCTATTCTACGCTGCCTTGATTATGATTGATGCTTGGACAAGGGATTCGGATTCACGTATATCTCCCATTTGAACGCTGTTATTGTGTTGTTTATGAGACCCAGTATGATTGGACTGTTTCTTGTTGAAATTGTGTTGAGTTATGTTATGCTGAGATTTGTCTCGTTTTTTCTTTTTTATATCACAGAGTATGTGGTAGTACAGTAACGCGATATGAGCTGATGACCTTGTTTTTATTTATTCTAATTCCATCTTCTCTCTCATTGTACCACTACCACCCTGCCTTGTGTATCCAGTCCACCGTCTCGTGTCTAATCTACGGGGTTGGCGAACCTCTCGCGAGTATAGGTGCTTGGTACAGCTAGATTGGGGATACTCCTAGTATAAATGGGAAAGCTGAGGCCGGGGAATTATATGATAGGCGATATGTGCAGATGTAGTACAATATACATGTCAGGCCTCAGCCCTGTGTAAAAACCTCACATTGGGTCAATATAATACAGAAAGTGGAATGGGTATGATGTGAGGGAGAGTGATAGCCAAGGATAGATGGAATGCAAACCTAAAGACCCATCTGGGTATTCGTCTCCCACCGCCTCTCAGCGCGCAGGATGAGCTCCTCATAGACAGTCCATGCCAGCGCGGAGCTAATGGCCTTGCGAGCCATGCGGATACCAAGTCCACCAAAGAGACTGCGCATGCCATCCTCGTGGATCATCAAGCGTGTAGCATGTACCATGTTGCCGTATTTGGCAGGCATCAGCTGCAACCGAGTCTTAACGGCGTCAAAGGGATTGGTGATTGCAGTCGCCATTCCGGCGGCCGCTCCACCGGAGACGAAGTGTATTGACGAGGACGAAACAGCAGTTGGTGTCTCGCCATTATTAGAGGGTTCTGCGGCCATCAAGGCGAACCGTCGCTTCAATTGCTCGTAGAAGAGAACATAGAGGCCCGCATAGGGGGCATCGCGAGCGGCAGTGGCGCCGAATCCTGCGAAGAGCCCACGCAGCCCTTCGGTGCGGACGATATCCCGACCTGCGCCTACTAGGCTGCGATATGCGTAGAAATCTGACTCATAACGGACCTTGATCACGGTCACGGGCATCATTACGAAGCCTGCGGCGACTCTTGCAACGGCTCCTGTGGCGAGATTGGCTGTGTTGGAGAGTTTGGGGAGGACGGAGGATGACCTAGCGCCTATTACCGGGCTGGCTAGGGCCATGGGGTTGGATTGCGCAACGGCTTGGCGCAATGCGTTGAGACTGGTGAAGTATAGTGCCGACCCGAAGCCGGTTCGGAGGGCTGAAGGGAGTGTGCCCCGCCATAATCCACGGATTGGATTTGGAGAGGAGATGATCGCCTTCAAAGTTGGGAGGATGGCTGCACCCTGGGACTGTTGGACTCGAGTTTTGAGCAGGTCCGCGGGCTGGAGGAGGATGGAGGAGGTAAGGCCGGAGCAAAGACCAGCAGCAAAGTGGAAGGGTGTTTTTGAGGCTAGATTAATACGAAGATCATGATTAGCAAAGGAATGGAAATGATTGGGGCTTGGACGGAAAGCATACTTGTTGAAGTGCTCGTTTTCACCTGCGGCACCGTCAATGTGCTATTGTTCGACATTTCTGGGTCAACTCGAACCGAGACGTCGGGTGGCAGTGAATATGTTTAGTTTAAAGATAAAAGATTCAATGCCAGCTCGAGGTCCATGGGCGTCGCGTATGCGTAAGGGTCAAGAAGGCGTCAAGATCCACCGGATGCGTAAAAAAAAAACCAAGAGAAAATTCCACGAAGACGGTCACAACCAAAAGTATGGGCGGCAACCTGCATTCCACCAGGGAATAAATGAAGGTAGATAGAATTGAATAAGATAGAAAGCAATTGCAAGCGTTGAGTCTGCCGAGGTAGAGGAAAGACGTTGAGAAACAGTGAAGTCATCGTCAGCAATGGCTATCGATAAGCCACACACCGCTTGGTTTTCCATGTCCACGGGTTCTTATACAATCGTTGGACAATATCTACGGAGTAGCAGAGTAGAAGGTTACTATTAATCCAATTAATAGCCCATAGCTTAAATAACTAATAATATTCCAAAGTCAACTACATGTATCGATCGTATGACTGACATACTATCCTTCATGCGGCTCTTTAGCTTCAGGCCATGTAGAACAGAGTACACTATACGGAGTACTATGTAGACTATTTGCAGACCAGGCATGTGTTTCTTTGTAGATCAAATGCAAGAAACAGAAACATGCATAACATGCATAAAGAATATAAATAGACATCGAAATCAATAAACAGCCCGGAAGAGAAAAGAGAAAGAAAAGAAACAAACTGCATCCGGCATCTCGCGGGAGTGCACGGACCAACAGTCCCGTGGGTAATCGACGTCATGTCACTGGATGGTTTATTTTTTGTTTTGTTTCTCTTCCCTTTTCTCTTGGGATTTAGAGAGACATTCTTATAGAAATTTACGGAGATCGCAGAGTTACTGTCTTCTCTTCACCTTGGTGTACAGCAGAATGCCTTGGTCTTTGCCCTTCTTTCCGTATCCGCCCGCAAGGAGCGGATACTGGGAGCCTGTTACCTCCACCTTGAACTGGTGCGAAGAGGTGTGTATCCCCGCAGATCAGATGTGAATCGCACAGAGACAAGAACAACGCTAATATACCCCTCTATCCAGGATTATTATGCCACTGAGTATGCTGCGGAGATTGTCAATACACTCACGAATTTGCTGTTCATGTGGCTTGGAGTCCAGGGCATACGGAGCTGCCGTCGCAATGGACATGACCAAATCTTCACCGTCGCCCTCATTGGCTACCTAGTAGTCGGAACAGGAAGCTTCCTGTTCCACTCCACCCTCAAATGCAAGTCCCTATGCCTATGCCCTCCCAAGCCCAAAATCTGGTTAAACTGCGGCGGACATGCACCAATAATACCTACAACGATACATAAGTGATCGAAAAAGCAATGCTGACCGACGAACCCCCACAACAGATCCCATGCAACTAGTGGACGAACTCTCGATGATCTATACCACCTGTCTTATGGCCTATGCCTCATTCTCGTACTCTCGCACCACCACCGTACGAGTCTGTCTCGGACTTTCGCTCACAGGTCTCGCTGTATTCATCACCCTGTACTACCACTACCTCCAAGACCCAGTCTTCCACCAGAACGCCTACGCACTCCTGACCACCGTCGTCGTCCTGCGCAGCATGCACACTATGGAAGTGACCCTCCGACCCAAATGGCGCCACTCGACGGAGGAGGACCGCCTAGCGCGCCAAAAGAAAGGACTCCCCGTTCCGACAAAGGAGCGCCAGCACTACGAGAACGTGCGTGACGAGAAGACCCTCAAGACCATGTGGTTCATGGTGGCATATGGCCTAAGCATGTTTTTGGGGGGTTTCCTCATCTGGGGCATGGATAATGTGTTCTGCTCTGAGATCCGTCGGATGCGCCGCACCGTTGGTCTTCCATGGGGCCTCTTTTTGGAAGGGCATGGCTGGTGGTATGTGTTCAACCTTGACCTTATGATTTACTATTGGACTTTTCACTAATTCATGCTTACCTTGCAGGCACATCATGACTGGCATCGGTGCTTATCACTATATCACATGGGGAATCTGGCTCCGCCACTGCCTCAACAACCGACAAGAAGAATACCACCTGCGCTGGGCGCACTTCTGGCACATCCCCGAAGTGGTCCGCACCTCGGGTGGACCATCCGAGAACGGGGTATCCCGAGCCAAGAAGTCAACGTGAAACAGCCGTCTAGACATTCTCTCACTCCCAGTTGGTTCATTACTCGCACCCATTGTTTATGGATGGCGATATAACACACTCTTGCAAATGTGACACCCCAAAATAACATGAAATAGATACCACGCTCCTTCTTGTCTGTCCTTTGCCGTGAGACTCGGAGCAGAGCACTGTTTTTGATTCGCTCTTGTCGTTACTTTTACACAGCTTCTATGAACACAATTCGTCCCGGAGACGGATCTTTTGACTTTGGTCCATAGATATACGATACCTCTTTTTTCTCTTTCTTTTTACATGGGGGCGCGCGGGGTCGTTGCTATAGATGGGAGTCAGGCTTGTGGACTGTTATGATCGTTGATTCGGCGTACTCATTCATAGGATCTGAAAGCAATAGAAAAACATTCAGACGATGTATCGTTTAAGCATTCTATATTCTCATGTGCTAGAATAATCCTCAAAAGCAGACTATGCATGGTCTATACTTCCATCCGATGCTACGAACGAATCAGGCACAGAACCAAGCAGCTAGATAACCCACCCGCTTATAGCTTCGACTCCCCATTCTGCGCCGCCTTCTTCGGCCTTCGCGCCGGCGCAGGAACATTCTTCAACCACTCCGCGTCAATAGTAACCTTCTCAATCTTGGACTTCTGACTCCAAGCCGCGCGGAAACTCTCCTCCTCAGCGCGCCAGCGCCGAATCTCCGGTGCAAGCCAACAAACCGCCGCATCAGCGCACTCATTCACAGCCTCCTGAGCAAGAAGATGACCAAAGTCCTCGAGGAAGACATCACGCACACGGCCCGCAGCAACACCGCCACTGCCGCCCAACCCGGTGCCGGTGTTGGCGAGCTTATCGGCGCGCATGGCGGGGATACACATGTCCGACTTTCCGGCGAAGATGTACAGCACGCTAGGACGCAGGAATGGGAGCTGGGAGAAGATCCTAGCTGGCTCTGGGCGGTAGAAGGGGTAGCTGTGTGGGTGGGTTGCGTCTAGGTCTGGGTGTGTTACGCGGTTGACGGGCTTGGTGCTGTTCGGGATGTGTGTGTAGTTTGGTCGTGAGAAGGTGAACACTTCTTGGTGCAATGGGGTTCGAAGTGTTACTGGGGGCCCGACGTTTTTGTCTATCGGGGTCTTGGGGTCTAGTGGGTGGATGGCTGTTGGGAGATCGCGCAGACCATGCTCGATCCAGCGGGATAACACTCTTGGATCCCAGGCCTGGTAGAAGGGGCTGCGACGGAAGCCTTCTGCGGCGGCTTGGCGGGAGGGCCAGATATCACGCCGGTGGGTTGAGAGTTGGGTGGTTTTGGCGATCGCGCGCTTGTTAACTTGGAGGCTGAGGCCGTCTAGTTGGGTGGTTTGGCGTTGGATCACTGGGTCTAGGAGGACTAGTGTGTGGATGAGTCGGGGGTGCATTAGGCATAGTTGTGTGCTAGGGGGTGTATTAGCTAGCTGCTGCGTGGGTGTTCTGGTTGTTGAATCTTACAGATGTGCGCCTCCCATGCTATGCCCTATGCCAACGATAGGCCGCGGCATTTCAGCCCGCTTGACATTGACTAGGTGGAGGAGATCTCGAGGGTGGTCGAACCAGCTAGCTGTAATGTAGTTAGCATCACAATTGCTCTTATAAGACATTCATGTTACATACGATCATTTCCAAGGGAATCTTCATTGATCACGCTGCTTTGGCCTTCGTGCGCCACGTCGGCCATCCAGATGCTGCGAATGCGCATCCCATTCTGCTTAGATCGAGCGTGGATTTCCTCCCAAAGTGGTTCATACAGTTCCTGCGAGAAACTATTAGTATATTGTTGATTCTATGCTTCGAAGGCCGTCGCAATGCGCGCAGCTGCGAAAGCGGGTCTGGCGGCTCTGGACCTCGGCACTTTGTATCTCATACCTTGGGGAAGCCGTTCGCGTGGGCAGCAAGGATAGTAATATCGCCTGGTTGCGGATTGGGATTGTCCAATGGAATATATTGTTTCACGGCCAGATGTAAGGGCTCTTCTTGGTCGTTGGCCGTGGCTCCAGGATACTCCCTGATGTGCTGAGTGGGCACGACATGCTCAACGATGCGGAAGGGGGACGACATGATGTGCAATGCTGCCCTTTGAGAAGAGAGATTGTATTTATTTCAGTTCGGAATTATTATAAGATGTAAAGAAGAATGAAGTCAGCAAAATTCCGAGAGACCGCGGTTTTGCGGGGGAAGTGAGCCGAGGATCTTTGGGGTTGAAGGCATTCCCCTTTGTTCAACTGCCGACCATCCTTGCATAACAGATTACACTTGGTTGCATATAAATATGTAAATTCTATTGAATTCTATTTGGGGTTTGAAGCTACAATAATTGAAAGTTCTGGCTGTTCTGGACGCAATGTGGTGTAATTTAGCAGAGGTAGACCAGATATGCACCGAGGCTATAAGCTATACCCTGCCCTCTACCGGGCGAAAGAGCAATAGAGATTATGGGTTATCTTTTTTATAGAAAAAGCTCACCTCTAGGGTTCATTTACTTTCAAGTCAAAGGCGAGAGAGAGACAGCATTGCCGCTAGGACTGTTCCTGACATGATATTCCCGAACAAGCAAAGATGCTACATTATTCTATATACTACTCTGCACTGAGAGCAAGACAAGCATCAACAGCGAGACCAACCCTGCGAGGAACAGTTAGTCGAAACTCAATAGAATATTCAAACATCTGTAAGCATAGAAAGTACTCACCTCCCCTCTTTCATCTTAACGACGTCATCAATAAGCTCCCGATCTAGGTTAGGAAACATGTTCGAAAGTGTCTCGACAACATTCTTGTGCTCAGCACGTTGGATGCGCCGCGCCTCCGCATCTTCGG